TGAAGCCAGGTGGGCGACGCAGCCAGATCTCCTCGTGCAGCCTGCCCTGTAAGAACGCTGTGCTGAAGTCCAAGGAGTGAAGCTCGTAGTCACGCCGAGCGACGACGTGCAGCAGCACCCGAAGAGTGGTCATCTTTGGGGTGGGGGAGAAGGTCTGGACGAAGTCAACTCCCTGTCGCTGACTGAAGCCTCGTGCAACGTAACAAGCCTTGAAGACAGGCGGGGAACCCGGCGGCCGTTTCACCCTGAAAATCCACATGCCATCGACTACGTTCGCCCCAGGAGGGGGAACTGCGTCGACGTAAGTGCCTGTGGACTTCCAGGATGCCATCTCTGCGTCCATGGCTGTCTGCCACTGAGAGGAGTACTCACCCGCGATCGCCTCAGCGTAAGAGCGCGGGGTCGGGATGTCTGGAGCATCCGGGTCTCCCTCAGGGGCAAGCAGCATGGCCACGAGATGAGGCGCAGCGGCTGTAAGACACTCAAAGTCCTCCTACCTGTCCTCAAAGACGTCCGAGCCAGGAGCACACTCACCCACGACGGACAAAGGACAGACAGACTCAGACTCAGCAACAAGACTAGCAGCGAAGTCGAGACGACGGGCAGCAGCAAAGTCAACAAGCTCAGAGAGTAAGGCAGACGCAGCAGCAGACTCAAACGACGGGTCAGTGACAACAGTGGCTAGCAGACGCGTGACAGTAGGGTGAGAAGCACGAACCAGGTCAGACTCAGGGTCCTGAACGTCAGGCAGAGAAGACGCAGAAGGAGATGGTAGGGGAACACGCTGTTGAACAGAGGAAGGACGAAGTGCCATAGCGTGCGTGCCAGGGACAGGAGGCGGACGCTCACGAGGAACACGGCTACCAGTGCAACACGTGCGAACAGGCGAGGCAAGACGAGACGCAGGCTCACGACGCTCTATAAGCGAGTCTGCCTACTAAGTGTAAGGAGAAAGAGCAGGCAGTGGTGCGCCGGGCTGTAACGAGAGGCCAGTAGAAGACGGGAGGCTAAGAACCTGACGAAGCATGGAGTCAGGCGGTGGCGGAGACGATAGTGACGGCGGGGGTGCAGTGCCACTAGTACCAGTAGCTCCAGCGCCTCTAGCAGCTCCAGAACCTCCAGCTCCAGCGCCTCCAGCAGCTCCAGAACCTCCAGTTCCAGCGCCTCCAGCAGCAGCACCTCCAGCTCCAGTGACTCCAGCAGCAGCAGCACCTCCAGCTCTAGCGTCTCCAGCAGCTCCAGATTCTCTTCTCCAACGCCTCCAGCAGCAGCACCTCTAGCTCCAGCGCCACCAGTAGCAGCACCCCCAGAGCCGACACCTCCAGCTCTAGGAGCAGTACCAGTCCCGGCAGCTCCAGTACCTCCAGTACGCCTCCAGGACCAGAGACACCAGCACTCCCAGTGCCTCCACGACAAGCAGCTCCAGCAGCACGACACCTCAGGCGGGTACGCGACGCAAGCCACTCTCGTGCTTGCTGTGGTGAGACAGGCCCGCGTCGTGAAACGAGACCCAGAGGAACGCCAGCAGACTCAGCACCCCCCGACCCGGCACCCTCCGGCTCAGCACCCCCAGGCTCCGCACTCGTAGGCTCAGCACCTCCAGGCTCCGCACCCCCCAGCACCTCACGGACGGGCTCAGCACCCCCAAGCTCCGCAGCTGCAGGCTCAGCACCCCCAGGCTCCGCACTCCTTAGCACCTCACGCGCAGGCTCAGCACCCCCAGACGCAACACCCCCAGCAGCACCTCCCGCAGCAGCACCTGAGTCGCTAGTGACCTCTACAGGCTCAGCGAAGGGGAGCGGGTCTACCTGAGACACACCTGAAGGAGCAAGACCCTGAGGGGGGAGGGGGTCTACCGGAGGGGGACCTGGAGCGAGGAAAAGCGGCGGGGGAGGGAGAGGGGCAGTGCGGTAGGGGAAGAGACGGTAGAAAGGAACCGACTCGTCAAAGGTGACGTCCTAAGAGGGGAAGACACGGCGCGAGGTGGGGTGGTAAAACTGCCAGCCAGGCGCGTCAGGGAGAAAGCCAAGGAAGACACAAAGAATGGTGCGGGAGGAGAGCTTGTCCGCGGACGTATCGCGGAGAAGGGCACGAGCACCCCAGACCCGGAAACGCGACGCAACGCCAACCTCCCCCGTCCAACGCAGTGTGGGCGAGGTCTTCGGCAAGGAGACACGGGGCCAGAGGTTGAGCTGCTGCGCGGCGTACCGGACCGCAAACGGCCACAGAAAATGGGGAGCCACCGCATGGATCAAGGAGGTACGAGCGACCTCCATGACTAAGCCAATGCGGCGCTCAGCAACCCCATTTTGCTGCGGTGAGCCCGGAAGCGTGAACGACTGCTCGATGCCCTCCCCCTGACAGAAGGCCCGCAAGAGGTCGGAGGTGAAGTCACCACCTCTGTTGCAGACGCAAGACAGGCAGGTCCTGGCGGAACCTGCAGTGGAGCTGGAGAAGAAATGCTCGGATCCAAGGGATCAGGACAGCACGGACCTCACCCTTGGTGCGCAAGGGGAAGACCGTGGTGTAACGCGAATAGTCGTCGACAACCAGCAGAAAGTACCGCTCACCGCCCTGTCCACGAACGCGGGCTGGGCCCCACACGTCCAGGTGGAGGGTCTGCAGAGGAGCCTCTGTCGGGGGAAACGAGGAGGAGTGAGGAGCGGCGCGCTGCCGCCCCTCGACGCAAGGAAGGTAGGGCGGCGCAGGCAAGGCAGGGAGGGGAGGGAGAGACCTGGGAAGACCAGACACAAGAAGACGACGGTGCATGCCACGGAGACGTGGCAAGGAGGGGTGACCCAGGTGGTGGTGCCAGAGAAGAGTCTGGTGCGACAGGGAGCGACACTCACAAGGGGAGGCTACCTGACTTGACGCAGACACCTGACCAGTAGCAGGCGCAGTCGTCAGTGTGTAAAGACTCGACCCTGGCCGACGGGTAAACGTGGCCAGGTGGCGGCCGGTCTGGGAGCACGTACAGATCGCCACACGCTGCCGACCAGGGGTGAAGGTGTCAACCCCCGCATCCTGGAGGACAACAGTGCTCACCAAGTTCGTAGAGAACGAGGGGAGGTGGAGACCTGACAGTGAGCCAGACGGAACCGCCGGGCACGGGAGCACAGTGGTGGACCGTGCAAGAACTGGGCCCCCTGAGGGGTCAGCCAGAGAGACTGCAACATGTGCAGGGACTGGTGTGAGTGCAGTACTGTCACGAAAGAAGCAGCGGGAAGCACCTGGGTTGTGAGGATCTAGGATCGAGCTCAGAAAAGAGAATTGTAATTGATTGCTCCACCTGGGTACAGCACGAGGCTATATATAGTCTCGACACAAGGCCAGTTACCCAGGTGTTACGCGAATGTTCTGAGGGTCGCGAAGCGTCCCGAACAGAACCTTCACGAACTCAGTAGAAAGCAATTCGGTGGAAACTGAATAGGCTTGAGTTCGGTACACGTAACCTTGGTTCGGTGCTATAACTATAATATAATATAGGAATGCACCTAACCTAGGAAATCAAGCATGTCTATGCATGATAAATAAAACCCAAGCTAGATATAGCGTAATAAAGTCTAAGCAAGCTAGCAAAGCCAGCATAAGCCGTCGTACTCTCACATGGATCAAGCGTGAAGGTGTGCAAGGCCTCAGCAGGCGCAGTATCGAGAGAGTTTGGTACAAGTATAAACCTAAAGGGGTTGTACCGCACAATGGCTACCCCACTACAACCTACACCCAATTATAAAGCATATATAAAGTTTGACAGGCCAAGCCAGCAAGAGCAGAGCCACAGCTCCAATTCTTCAAGTGCTGTGCTGCAATCAGCATTCACCTCCTCATGCTGTTTCACCTTCACTATTATTGCATGTGCAGTGCATGTCTACTGTAGTGTACCTCTGAGTTCATTGCCTTGGTTCACCAACTCAATTCCGCGCATGCCAGCTTGCTGGAGGATGGGGTGGCTCAGCAATGCACGTTGGGTATGCGTTGAAGTACCGTAACTACCACTGTGGCATCACATTCAGCATGCTCTTATTGTAGGGTCACACTTCATGATCAATTCAAACCCACTGATGAGTGTGTGGAGCGCTGGTGCACAGGTGCATGGATGAGGTATCACAGCACCTGATGAGGTATCACAGCACCTGATGAGGTATCACAGCACCTGATGAGGTATCACAGCACCTGATGAGGTATCACAGCACCTGATGAGGTATCACAGCACCTGATGAGGTATCACAGCACCTGATGAGGTATCACAGCACCTGATGAGGTATCACAGCACCTGATGAGGTATCACAGCACCTGACAAGGTATCACAGCACCTGCGGAGGTATCACAGCACCTGATGAGGTATCACAGCACCTGATGAGGTATCACAGCACCTGATGAGGTATCACAGCACCTGATGAGGTATCACAGCACCTGACAAGGTATCACAGCACCTGACAAGGTATCACAGCACCTGACGAGGTATCACAGCACCTGACGAGGTATCACAGCACCTGACGAGGTATCACAGCACCTGATGAGGTATCACAGCACCTGACGAGGTATCACAGCACCTGATGAGGTATCACAGCACCTGCCACCACTTCACTGCTCCTACCATGCCAATGCTGCTCACCCCTTCATGCTCTCCTCCGTGAGCATGTTTCTACAAGCACCATCAGCATCAGCATCAGCATCAGCATCGGCACCACCATCACAGACAGCACAGGTTCTGTGTGAATGTACAACAATTTGACCACACAGCGCCCACGCATCCCTCACTGTGTCAGCATGCCATCACGTCAGCATGCCATCACGTCAGCATGCCATCACGTCAGCATGCCATCACGTCAGCATGCCATCACGTCAGCATGCCATCACGTCAGCATGCCATCACGTCAGCATGCCACCACGTCAGCATGCCACCACGTCAGCATGCCATCACGTCAGCATGCCATCACGTCAGCATGCCATCACGTCAGCATGCCACCACGTCAGCATGCCATCACGTCAGCATGGCATCACGATGTCTTGAGCGCCACCATCATGGCCTTGCGCAGGCATGCCCCTGCCGCTGCTATCACACCGCCCAGGGCGGACAGGGCCGGAGGGGCCGGAGGTGTGTCATCCTGCCGCTGTGCGTCGCCCTGCCATGGCATGGTGAGGGGGGTGGGGTGTTTGTGGGAAAGAGCAGCGAGCATTCACTCAGCACGGTGCCGCAAGCCCATGCTCAGAGCTCACAAGGCCTCTTGCACGGGATTCTTGAGATTTCTCACAACTACCCTGCAACCACATGACATCATCATGTGCCTTTCAGATGCCATTGCACCTGCACCAGCCTCGCTTGCTCCCTGACGCACACACCCAGGAAGGAACCAGCAGCCTCAGAGGGCAGTGCGTGCTGTGGTGCGTGGAGAGTGGTCATGGGCGCGGTGAGCTGAGAGGCGCCCAGCACAGGGAGCTCACCACGGCCGTGGAGAGCAGCGAGAGCAGCTGCTGCCTCTCCTCGCCCGAATGCGCTGTGTGGGGCAGCTCCACGTCAGCCACTGCCAGGTGGCCGCCTGGCATTGGCCAGTCGTTGCAGGCGGTGAGGGTGAGCGTGGCCCCGTTGGCCCACTTCACCTTGAATGCGCCCTCCCCCGCCGTCTCCACCATGTACCTGCGCCCCCATGGGGCATGACAGAAGAGAGGAGATGCGAGGAGATGAGATGAGATGAGAGGAGAGGAGAGGAGAGGAGAGG